AGTTACAGCAAATCAGAAAGGTTGTTTGTTTGAATTTTCTTCATATCAGACTAATTGTTTGGCATTCACAGAATAATCAGCTCATTCCAGTGATCTGTAAACCATTTTCTATCCACAAGCATTGAATCAGTACTCTATTAATTCATTTTTGCAATTTCAACTTTTGATGTTTCTGGAAAAGCAAGCAGATGTTTCTCTATTTGCACAGAATACTGTATGTTAAACTACATTTTAATGTGTCCACTCATGCCTAATGCTGCATCTAATAGCAATCCACTGGTTTCTAGCATGTTTGGACCCTTTTTCCCGACAGCTTGTCAAAGGCTGTCACAGTGGCTGATCTGAAAGTCTAATGGTATTCCCTGTTGTCATGAGCTGTGCTATATTTGGTACCATTTCACATTAATATTGCATTCAGCCTTACTGAAATGGTCAATCAATTCAGACACAGGGTTGGAAAATCAATTGTCAACTGCCAGTCAGTCGAGTTCAGGGCACATATGTTACCTGAGCTAAGCAACATCCTGCAGATGAACCTCACTTCTCTTCCCAACGAACATCACTAGAGTAAGATAAATCTTTCAGACTCTGATTGAGTGATTCTGATGCTATTGATGACAGTGTTGACAATTAATGAACAACTACAGAAAGTCAGCTAAAAGTACAGAGATTCAAAGGCTTAGTCAAAGTGGTTGTGGGGGTTAACAGTTTTCAGCCAAGAAAAAATCCTTTTTTATGGCATTCTGGAATCCAGTGAAGGATTTCCGAACTGTGACACTAGTTTGCAGCTCTCACTACGAAAGAAACTGGGGAGATTCAATTCACACAGTATCTGTCTGCACGCCATCCAGTTTCTTATTTGGGATTTTGTTGGTGTGCCTTTATTCTCCCTATACTTGTTTAATAGATCTCTTCCTTTTGTCAGTAATGTAAAAGTATCTTGTAGAAAGAACAGAGATATAAGTTGGCCAGTATTGTAGATTGTTTTGGACTTTTCAGAATGAAATCAAATACAAGGATTATGGGTTCTGAGGAAGGTTAGTCACCAAGGTTAGTCCTCCCAAAAGCACCGCTTTATTAAGTCCATCCAAGTTTTCAGTGTACTCCTGTTCCTATTCACTAAGGGAAATCTCTGTATTTTGTTCCATGTTTAATGCTCTTAGTTCAAAACAAGAAACATCGAAGTTGTTTGAATTAACTCATGTGACACGAAAACTACAACAAAGGAGAAAGAAATTCAACCTCAGGAGTCCCCGCTTCAAATAATCAATTTAGTTAAAAGCAGATTAAAATCAAATTTGCTCTGCTTCCTCTCAGTATAGCCATACAGCAAATCTTACTGTTTTCTCCTACTAATTTTTTCATTAAAAATCTTGTATTTTGGATGATCGCAGGCTGCACTTGTTTTTTTGCGTTTCCCTGTAAAGAGCATTGAAAGCAAAGGCTATAAATTATCAATGGCTTTGGACAAAATATTCAGTTCAGTGGTAAATTATTCAAATAAATCAGCCTTTATCATTTAAATGTGATTGAGTGCACTGAAGGAAATCTCTAAAGGTTTTCCCAGGACTTTTGAGTGTGGCTCTTTCCCTACTCTTCTCGATCACCAGTGAAACGGTTTAAAAGGTCAGGTGTATGGTTTAGACACTCAGACTTCTGAAGGTCAGACAACCAACAATGTGTATACTGCCTTGAAGATTGATTTGTTCAGAGGTTGAGGAAACAGTCTGGCAGCAAAATCTCCTTGGGGAATAGAAACCCCTGACAGGAGATTAACAACAAGTCTTCTCCTGCTTTATCACTGGGTTCTGCAAAGATAATGGAAAGATTGGAGTGTGCTGAGGTTTGAGATCAACTTCATCTCAATCTGATACATTACTGCCTTAGAACAAACACACTGCAGACGGGTTCAGTCATTTTATTCCCTGCAGATCAGATTGGTTTTATTGATTTTCAACTAATGTGTGGCTTTCACTGGGATCAAACATTATGGGAGGTAGTGCGAGGCAGCAAGGCAAGTTCTTGTCATCAAATACCCAGTTTCACGACAGCAATATTATACCCCAAGCTTTGCTTTTGCTATTTAAATGAATAATAGACAAAGCATTAGAATTCTTACATTGTCTAACATAATGCATTATGTGCATTACACAATTCTTGTGTTATGGTTGGCTGGTGCTGCGCATGTTAAACAGCTTGGGTGTGCGAGTGAGGCAAGTCTTCTTCTGTTCCATGCTTTCAATTTCTGTTAATATGGGTCAAGAATTAGCCACTGTCGGAAACTCTGCTGTTGCTGGCACAATCCAGCCTGTTGAGGGCGACTGTGGCTGAATCAGTTTTTCCATGTTTAATGGCCCTGCCCACTGCTTGGAAACACATTATTTAGCATAAACGAGGAATTCCAGAGTCACTCCAGGTTTGTGATTACATGGCTCACATCCTAACTATTTCACTGAAGTCAGAGTACAACCAAGTAAGTTGAGTTTTCACTCCAAACCATTCTTTTTTTACTCCAGATTTATTCTATTGTTTTGTTTTCCACTCTACTCACACAGGAGTGAGCAAGGTCCCAGCCCAATTATGTTGTCTGCAAATCCCTTTGGAAGGCATTCTTGGTCCTGAATTTCAGTTCTCCAAGGCACTACCCTGCGTGAAGGACGCTTTATAAATGCAAGTTATTGTTGCTGAATTACTGCTAAAATCACTGTCAAACGTGCCGTATAAACAGCACAAGTGTTAACTGTTCTGACTTTAGCGTTCAGCCTCCTCAAACACTTAACAAAAGATTAAAAATTCAAAGCCTCCAACACAATCTAAGAAGGTTAAAATGAACATGTGTAGTAGAATAATAATTCCTCTCTCACTCTGTTCCCTATTGAATTGCTGTAAGGAATTGTGACCTCAACAGCTCCATAGCAACCATTTCCCCCCACGTAAAACTGAACCCAATTGAAAAGAGTATAAGGAGTTCCCCTGGCAGCTAAAGCAGGACACTTGGGGGCGAGAGCCCAGATGGTTAAAAGATGGACTAACCGGGGGGGGGGTAGTTAAAACAGGGGGGGAAATGAAGCAACAATGCCCCTAAATCATCAGTAAAAGATTGCGGGTTACAGCAGGAGTCTCATTATTTCGTAGATCTCTGGCAATTCTGGTCAGTGTTGGGACACAATCTGTTGTGCATAATACAGGAGGTTGGGCTTCCATCCAAATCACAGCAAACTGGTACAATCTCAGACGCCAATCATTAATAATAATAATCTTTGCGTTTAATTTGGTGCCTTATCCCATTGTTAGTGTCTCAAAGCGCCTCACAGAATATACTGTAACGTGCAGTGACTGTGCATTTGTGGGCAAATGTGGCAGCCATTTTACGAACAGTGCTTCATAAACAGCCATGAAGTGAATAATAATAATAATCCATGCTTTTGGTTTAATGATCAAATTTATTTGGGGGACTGTTGACCAGGACCCCAAGCAAAACTGCCTTATCTGTTTGAATAGTGCTATGAGACCTCAGTTTTAACAGCTCATCCGAAGCATGGCACTACAACAACTCAGCACTCCCCCAGCACTGTATTGGAGTGTCAGGCTAGATTAGTAGATACTGTCTACTAAGAAAATCGCTGCCTTAAAACCTGAATGTCATTATTTTAAGTACCAGCAGAGCCTGATATTCATTGCTTACAGATTCATTACTGGTTTTGTTCTGTCGTTAATGTTGATGTATCTTCAGGACTGCTCTTTCGAGCACTGTACAATTGGAAAAGAACTGTTCCAAGTCTGGGTCAGTCTGTCGCATCCTCCTCTTCCTTTTATTAATTCATAGTAACATTTCCATGTTTTGTGAATTTAGATCTACGCTTGTTGAAAAGCAGATTTAATTGCACTACTGCCAACACCCACTGCACTCCTACATAAAAATGATTTTAATACTGTTACTCCCTCATGGTAACGGAAGAGGTTTTACACAAACATTGATGGATGTGTTAATCTACACCAACTAAGATCCAAATTATTACCCTGAGAAGATTTTTCAACTCTTGTTCCCAGCTATCATCTTCCTTGCTGCACATGTGTGGTGATGCAATGTAATGCAATGAGTTAGGCTGTATCAATTTATTAACCCTTAGACACCAAGGTTATCCAGTTAAGCATACTTTTAAATCGCATAATGTAAAGCTTTAAAATATCATTAAATTGTCATAGCTATTCGACCATGAGTATTTTATTTCAACAGTAATATTAACCTTAGTCCATTTAATTGGCGTTGTTCTCAAAGTGTATAACAAGGAAAGCCATAAGTCTTGCGGAAAACTCAGAGGGTTGTATTAGACTTGAAATAGCAGAATTATTGTTTGCGGCAACACAGCCTAGATCTAGAATGCCTTGGTGATGCACTTCATGATTGTGAACTAGATTTGATGTTGTAATTGCTGTTCTCACATGTTTAGCCAGCCCATATCTCAAGGGTTTAGGTCACGGCACAAGTTGGCAGCCTTCAATGAAACTGAAGAAATAAAAATGGTACATGAATTTTGAATAGCCGAGGGTGAGAATGATAGCAGGCCCATAGATAAACAGAGGTCAAGACTTTAGTAAATCTTATTGGACCTGTGCAATGTAGAATATTGTATTAACCCTTCAAGCCAAAGTCCTAATGGGTAGGATGGTTCTAGCTGGATAAGCAATGGGAAAGCTTGTTAGACAGTGCTATCAATGGCAAACTATGGAGTTTGTGAGACTCAAGTATCCATAATGAAAAATATGCTCTTAATCTCATACTGTGGTTTGTCTGCTTATTCTTTAATTCGTTTCCTACAAATACAGTCACTACACTTTGCAATAAATCCTGTGAAATATTTTGAGAAGTTTCAGTGATGTGATAAGATGCGATATCAAATGCAAGGATTATTATTATTATTGTGATTGTCAGAACAAAATGCCACGACATCCTTGGCTTAAGGTCAACGATTCAACTTTGTTATCTCTGTTTATTGCAGATCAACTAGTGGGGCTCATCACACTGCTAAGAAATCAACAGAAGGGGCTCATTCTCATCAATGACCATCAGGAAAGAAAGACAAGAAGACAGCAAAAACTCTTTTATGCTGTATCATAAAGCCTAATCACTAGCCTCCTAACCTGCACAAATCCTCTAAGTGTTGTTGATGTGATCAGACAAAATGCTTCATGAAAGTCACATAGCTAGAATGATTTCCATACCATCTGGCTTTAGTAGCAACGAACAACTGCTATTATTAACCGTATGAATCAACTCTAAGGACTTTGACAGTGCTTTGATTCCTGGCACTGAACAATGGCAATGAACAAAATTGATATTGAAAGTTAACTTGTGCTACAGTGTTGGGATGCTAATGGGACTCCGATTCTGATTGTATTTTAGAAGGTATTGTTTATACCACATGGAGATCTCGTTGTTACTGCAGTTATGTACATTTAGTATTCCCGTTACAATCTAAAGAACCAAAATATGTGTTCCCAATGTCTGGGATTAAGTGTTGTGTTTGGTTTCAGAAGTGCAACAGCCATTGGTTTAATCCCATTCATTGGGCGTATTTATAAAAAGATTCCAATGGCACCTCCCGCTTGATGTTGGATGATTTTTGGTTTGTCACAGTGTTGGCTAAATCTCATTGTATTGTGTATCTCGAAAATAAACTTGTGTTAAGTGACACGTGAAGCCAAAACTCTGTGCTCTTAATTAAATTTTAAACTAGGGAAGAAAGGCAAAATCATAAGCATTAGTGAGGGATTCCATGGAACCTCAAGCTACCTAATTAGTTTTAAGGAACTGTGGAACAATACTAAAAATCAGATTGCCTTGATGCCTCTGTAAAACAGTAAAGGAAAGCAAAAAAGAAGCAATTTTACTAAAATCGGGGTTAAAAATGACGACTTTTTGATTTGGGTCAAAAAGAAAGGTTTAAGTTTGAGCTTTGTTTTCTTTCGAAATATTCCAAGTGGTAATGTTTTGTATTTCACACCCAGGCAGGATATTTTTTCCAAGTTGCTCATCAACAAGGAAAATCCTGAATATGTGATTGTGCCCTGCATGGTTGAATTGTGGTAGAACAACTGATTGTTTTGTTGCATGTGCTTTGGGGCTGGTATCTTAACAGGGGCCAACATTTTAACATAATCCAAATTAATTTAAAAACACACCTTTTGCTATCGCAGAATTGCTAGTAAGAAAAAGTTGCAGCGGTGTCAAAGGTTTAGACATAGCAATGGAGCTGAAAAACAGACGTGGAGAGTAAAACGCAAGAGTTACTCAGAAGATAAGGTGCTTTGTTTGTCACTTTAGCCAACCCGGCAGTAACTTGCTCCCAGTCAGTGGCAGCTCTCGTGCCAAGACTTCTGAACTGTGGCTGCTTTCCCAACTAAAGAAAACTCCCAACAAACACCATTTAATTTCAAACTTTAGAAATAACAAATCAATATTCCTCACTGGAAGCAAATATCTGTTGAGAGTCTCTCTAAGCAGTCAGCTTTTTCCTACATTATTTCTCTCTCATTTCGGCCTTGCAGTATGATCGTATGATCGCGCTCATTCCTTTTGTCCACCATTTTGTGCTAAGCAACATCAACAATAAGCTACAACTGGAGCAGTGTACAGCAGGGAAAAATGAATGCTGTATTTCCAGATTTGTGCAACATTTCTCTTTTACAGCCAGGCCTATGTTGCAATGTACATCTGTTGGATATTAAATGCTTCAAACAATGCATTAACCTCCTGTAAAAGCTCAATGCAGTTTCCATTAAAATTTAGTAGGGTAATTTTATTTTAAAAAAACCCACAGATAAAGACATGTATCACAAAAAAATCCAATTGCATGCATCTGACTAGTTCAAAGTACATGATATTGTACTGGAGTGGGGATGAGGGAGGGAGGGAAATGAAGAATTAAGTGTTTTGTCTTGAGTGCAATGCAGAGTCCGCTGTTATGATTTAGTCACAGCTTCAAATATGATCACACCTTGCTTTTGTAGTCTTTTGGAACTTTGTAAGAAAGCAATGACTCACCTCAATCTGTGTTCATCTGTCAAGTGGCACAAAGCAATGTTTAGCCTTTGATGACTTGTTGAAGGAGATGACTGAAAGGTCAAAAATCATACCTGAATTGGGAGCTTCTTACAAGGGCACCTTCAATAAGATTTGAAAACTTTCTTCATCCAGAGGATAATTAACAACTGGAACAAGTTACCAGGATGGGTGGTTGCATTTTTTTAATGCACAAGGATATAACCCAGTATTAAAATTGATCCTAGGAAATGGACTCATTAAAAAAAAGCTGGATGCTGTGATGGGAAGACTGTAAAATGGGTATTCTGGAAGGATGAGATCAAATGGGCCAAATAGCTTGCTACATCCAAACTGATCTTGTTAGCAGGGTAAAGTTTAATGATACACTTGGCCAATTACAGTGTGTGTATTCAAATATAGCGAAGCACTGTTTGTAAAAAAAAGCCTTAGAAGACAGCAGAAGGAAAGTGCAATAAACCACTGGTAGTGAATCTCAATGGAGGTATTAACTGACAGCTATTTATGCACAAGGGCATAACCCAGTATTAAAATTGATCCCTGCATCCTAAACTCTTATGCCTCTGACTATTACAGCTACAGATTTATTTTAAATGCTGATGTTAATTGTTCAGGTTGCCACACATCAAAAATGTATGAAAGATTTCTGTGTTCTTAGTGTTTCAATGGGCTGTGTCAATTTCATAAATCTGCCACACAACAAAATTAACATGGTGATGACAACTAGAGGACATTTTGAACAGTTGCAAAAATGCAATCTAGCTCACACCACTGAAATGTTTGAACAGTTGCACAGATGCAAACTAGATCAAACAAAGATGCAAACTTCAATGCAACACCACCCCTTTAACTACGCACATAGAGTACATTAAATACAATTAATGTTTAGGTGGTGAACATTGATCCTAAGACATTGACTGTGGCATGTTGTCCAATGGTTCTGCCAATGGTATACAAGGTTCTCTGTGACATTTTCATTGACTGAAATCATTGACAAAGAAAAACATTAACTATGACTGGCCTTCAGGGTTCATCCCTTTTTTACTTTAATAGAATCAGATCTGTTTTATTTTTTACAATGACTATTAACATACATCATTTTAATCCTATTCTTTGTTCTGTAATCCCAGGCCCATATGTATTGTATTTTTTGTATCTATAAATTTCATTGTCACTGTGGTATACATCTGGACATACTTTAGTACTGGATTATAATGTTGTCTCTCAAAGAAATCTTCTTGAAGGTATGATACAAAGAGCAAGCTTTCAGATCCTAAATCGAAGCTGTACTGTATTAAATGTTTTAGTAAGCAAATAACTATTGATATTTGAGAAGAACTGTGTCCTTTATCGTAACTGTCAAAACAGTAAATCGTTTTCTGAAGTTTTTTTTAAAAAAGGGAGAATTTCTGGAATGCGATAGTTTGAAAATATGGTTCATTTACCGTTCTTTGTGCAACAAAAGTCGTTTTATTTATGTTATTGGAGAATGAGTGCATAAAATTTGTTTTTGGTGATGCAAAATAAATGGAAAGTGTAATCAAGAGACATTGTGCATTTGTATGTCATTCACTGACGAGCAACAACAGCATTAAATCATACCATATACAGAACTCTGTATGATGCTTCCTGAGCCTCGCAAACACTAGTCAGATATAAATAGGCAGATGGCGTCTCTGCTCTGATATTCTGCACAGCAACTGCATTGCAATCAAGTGAAACTTTAAGTTGTAGTTTGTCACAATTACATGCTTTTTGTGGAATGAATACGGATTAAAACGAGGATTGCAAGTACAAGTTTACATTAATTTCATGTCCAAAACGCTGGACCGTCTAGGGCTTGCACCTGAGCCGGAGTCGGGAGAAGTGGGAAAGATGATAAGAAAGCAGTCACGGAGGAAGGTCTTCAGGCGGACTTTGAAGGAGGCGATGGACAGGACGAGTCAAAGAGACTTTGATTGAGTGCCAGAGAATGAGAACAGAAACATTGAAAGCCCATCTGCCCAATGACGTTTCTCAGTCATGTTGTTGTGTGTATGGGGGTGTGGGGTGGCTGGATGTAAGAGAGTCTTCCGCTGCCTCCCCACAGGAGAGAGGATCACAACCAGACTGCTGCCACATGTTTCTTAGCAGACAAATGAAAAGCATTGCTGCCAGAACCCTGGGAACAACTTAGTTACCTCCCCTCCCTATTGCAGAAGGCACATGCCCAGGAACCACCTGAACTGGGAGTTCAATAGGGAAACTAAAAAGAATTTATATCTCCAAAGCAAGAGTATATATACCATTTCTCTGTAGTCCCTGCCATCTCTAGGTACAAACGCAGCATGAGGTACATTTAACCGTCATCGCAGCCCAGTTGAAAGGCCCAGTGACACAGTGCATCCAAGTGCCACTGTGCTGGGTCATGGGAATCGTAAGCTACATGTTCACAGCTGTGATTCCTCACAGGGCGCAGATCCGAGGTGAAGCACCGAAGAGGTGCAATTTGGACTGCTGCCACACACCTCAAAGCAAGCAGCTGAAGAGGAACAGTGTGTGATTCTGGTAAGATCATGGAGGAAGGAAGGAAGAACAGAATCAAATGACAGTCGCAACTCACATTTCAGTGCTGTTTAACATCCAGCTCTTCTACCAGCAGCTGCGAAGGTCATTTTTCACCAGCACAAGAGGTCCATGGACGTGTCACCTCAGATCCGTTGGCTGAAGCCCATCCTGTTCACAGATTAGTTGACTAAGAATAGTTGTAAGGTAAACTACAGACAAGACGTTAACATGTGTGAGGATCACATCTGTGCTGCCTTGTCACAACGTAATCACTGCTCCTTAAACTGTTCTTTAAAAGAGAAATACAATGATTTAGCACAGCAAGTGAATGATAATAATAATCCTTGCATCTGTATAGTGAGCACCTTATCACGTATTTGAGGCATCTCAATGCGCTTCACAGAATATACTGTAAAGTGAATTGTCGGTATATTTTGCGGGCGAAACGTGGCAGCTAATTGCGCACAGCAGTGTCCTACAAACAGTCGTGCATTGAAGTGACCAATTTATTACTTTTTTTTGAAGAAGTTATCACCTCCAGAAAAGCGATCCACCAATCAACTAACAACCGGGTTCCTACTTACTGCTAGGTAAACAGGCGTGTGGAGTAAGGAAACTTGCCCAACATTTCACCTTACTGAGAATCGAACCCAGGTCTCTCACTTGCTCTCACCAATGAGCTGGAGGATTCCATGAGTCAAAGAATGATGAATCTCTATCTAATGAATGGGATTTGTTCCCTCCCTGCTGCAACCACCTCACATCCTATTTCTACCCATTAAAAGAGTCTCAGGTTCGCTTCAAATCTTTCGTCAACTCTTTTAATTGGAGGATAGGAAGATCAGTTAAGACTGATTCACCCGGAAAATGAGAAGGAGTTTCTCCTGGTATCCCAGCCAACAATACCCCTAAAAATAATTATTCACTTCATGGCTGTTTGTGAGACATTGCTATATGCAAATCAGCTGCTGCACTCGCTTACAAAATACATAGTCACTACACACTCCATCCAATAAAAGCTATGAAGTGCTGGATCATCCTGTCGGTAGGCTCACTAAAATTTCACTAACTGGTGCCAGGACAGTAATCAATGCCTATTCTCTCAATTAAATATATAATGCGATGGGCCTGTGGTTGTGGTTTGCAATTCCTAAGAAGTTGCATTCAAAGACTTGAATCGGGGCACAACAAAGGAATGACTTGAGCAAATCATGAGCAACAGACCACAGAGCTAAACTGTTTAAAAGGCAAGTGATTAATAAGAACAAAGTGTGCCAGTCATTTCACAGAACAGGAATGAAAGCTCGGACTGCGGCATCAATGCCACACAGTTACCAAAGAGGCACCAGTCAGCCATCAGGGGGTTAAAGCTGGTGGAGCTACATGTAGGTAC